CTTTTCTGAATTTCTGGGAACTCATAATATATGGCACTTCTCCACTGACCAGAAAAGAGGGGGAAACCACTTATTCCAAGCTGTAGAAAATGATGCAACATATTGGGAGCGTTGTCAGTGCAGTACTGCAAGGTAGAAGATTCTGTAAGACTGCGGCAAGAAAATGGAATAAGCCAGAGGTGATGGGTTGTGTACTTGGGGGTATAGGAGGAAATAGACTGGATTTATTGGGCAAAGAGTTGTGGTACTCATAATTTGATTCAGAAATTTGGGAGCATAAGGTGGAAAACTTGAAGATGAAAATCCAACTCTAGTGTGATAATTTTCCTCTCTTTGTCTTTAACTTACAAACTGCTTTGCAAATGTTTAATAGAAAACATTAAAATTAGGCAAGAATATTCCTAAGTAGGGGAGGAAGTAACACAAAAACTGTCTCAGCAAATATTGGCCACTTTACACCATGGCTACAGTCAGGACCTGAATTCCAGAGGAAGATAAGCAGTACATTTTGTTTTCTGTGATTCATTACTTGCAGCAGAAACTTGTAGTGGAGGGCAGGGTTTATGTAGGGAATTTGTCCCCTTCAGATTCCTGAACGTAGTGTGAGAGTGGTACCGTTGCCTCATGGTGTATAGATTGATCCCAGTATTGCTTCTCATAAACAGAAGTCAAAAATCAGCAAAACCTCTTTCAGCAGAGATAAAGTGCTACAGAAATGTGTGTGTTGCTGTTGTATTGTTTTCATCTCACTGCAAAATTACATTTGTTTGCAGTGTTTGTTAGGTTGCATTGGGACCATCACAGCACCACATGTTACAGCTTCAGAATACCTGCCTACCCAAAGCAGTATGTACGAATGTATGCATATATTAACTTCCAAACTAACTGTATTTATCAGACAAAAAATAGCTGTGTCATACAAGGAAATATTAAAACAGATCACGTAGCTGATCCTGCTATATCTCTATCAGCCCCACACCTGATATCACATATGTCATGGTCTGGGGAAAAGAGCCTCACAGGCCAAATTTGCCCATGAGCTGATGGATCCCCACTCCTGGCCTAGAATGACTGTGTGAGCAGGAGGGTTCTGGGAAAGGAGATGTGGCCGCGGCACGTCTCCCCACCCCCGGTCCTCCGCTGCTTCATTGTCCTGAGCTAAGCCATGGTTTGGCTGAGTGTTTCACCCAAACCTGGGCTCATGGTTTGTCTGCTTCAGACAAATCATGAGTTGTACATCCAAGAAAAAAGAAACTTGGTTGCAGCTCATAGTTTGTCTGGAGGAGGTGGACCTTGAGTTTGGGCTTGGATGACACTCTAAGCCAAACTATGGCTTACCTCATGGCAGCACAGGAGCAGCAGGGGAAAAGCAGACATAATCTCATCTCTGGGAGTTTACACATTTGCACTGGACCAATTTTTAGCTCTTTGAGTAAATAATTTAACCATAAGAGAGTGTGTGTGTATACATGATGCAACATTTTCAGTCATTTATGTCCTCTTCAATTCATCAAGTTAGATACATGGCTGCTAATCAGACCAGTGCTCAATAGAAGCTTAGACTCCTACAAAAATTCAAAAACCTAATACTTCCAAATAATGTGAGTAAAGGTTTAACACCATATGATTTGTTTTTATGATTAGTAATTGTGCAGCTCCCTCATTTTGCACCTCGAGGGCTACAAAGTTAAATCAATATGGTAAATCACAATGTTAAGGACATTTCACTAAGCCAGAGATTTTCAACCTTTTTGAGTCCATGGCTCCCTTGACCAGCTACATCCTTTCTGCAGTACCCCTGTGGGACTCAGGAGCCCAGTTGGGTCATCCCTTGTCTGTAGAGCTGGCAGCCTCTCACCCTTTTCCGAACCCCCTCCCTTGTGGTATGTTACCTCAGCCTCTTCTCCTCTCCCCTCTCCTTGGGAGTCCTCTGGGCAGCTGCTGCTGCCACCCCTGGTCTCTGAGCTGCCCCCCCCCCCCGAGAAATGCCTTTCAGAGGCACCATTTGCCTGCGGAGCTTATAGCCAGGGCTGCTGCAATAACCACATGTGCAAGCCTTTGGGAGGCAGAGACACGAGAGGGCATAACAGGAGGGAAGAGGGACAGAGGACAATGCTGCCCGTGTTGCCCCTGACCATCATTCAAGGCACCCCAGGGTGCCACGGCACACTGGTTGAAAACCACTGCACTAAGCATATGAGTGGCAAGTATCAGAAGTGTGTGCTGGAGAAGAAAGGGAAATCTTAAAAAATAAAAAGCAAATTTTCCCTGGATGAGTCACTTTATGTGGCTGAGATCCAAAAAGCTTCTGCAAGCCCAGTGTATTTTTTTTTTTTACTTTTTTTATTTCAACAGCTGATCTCCAGGCCACATTGCAGGTAGTTTCCAAAACTCCTCTTAGTTCCATACTTGGGCATATGAGAAGAAGGGCACTGCTGTTTAAAGAAAAAGGGAGGAAAGAGGAAAACCCCATGACTCACAGGTACCGGGACCCTGGCCTCCATTTTTATGTGCACATTGAAGGTGCGCTAAAGGCAGGCCAGAAAATGCAAGCGCTTGCCATTCAGGAACACTCATTAGGGAGCCCCAATTAGCTGCCTGCAGTTCCTCATCAAGGGTGCGCTTGGTGGCATGCCTGGGTTTTCTGCTTTATAATGTGTGAAAGAGCCCTAAGCATTGAACTTCTTGGTTTATACCACGAAAGAAAGTTTGGAAAGTGAAGGGTGCAGAATTTACGACCCAAGAGGAGTGCAGGGTCCTGAGTGCCAGGAAGCATCAGTGTTGAAACAACTGTGTCAAAGTGAATGTAAAATAAAAGTGAACCAGTAAAATTAAAGTGGGTGGGAGGCAGTCGGGAAGGATGCTGAAGTCCAAGGACGCAATGAAAGAATGTGCTGAACAAAAAATGAGAGGGAGGATGAGGCACCAAAGAACCAGCCGTTGTGCAACAGATTTGAGGGAGCAGTAAACAGTGTACATCAAAGCTATAGAAGATGGCGAAAAGTGTTGAGGGGAAATGGGGAAAGGAGTGTCTTTTGAGTTTTGAATATCTCACTGCAAATGTCAAAAATAAGGGAGAAAGGTTAGTTAGGAGGAAAAGTACTCCCTCCTCCCCAGTTGTTACTTAATTTTTTAATTATATTTTATTTTTCAACACAAGAGCACAGAAAATCATCAGAGATGCTGTTGCAATAATGTTAAGTACAATTCTACACATGCAAATTAAACTGACACATAATTTAGGAGAGCCATCTTTCTTTCTTAGGTGCAGGTAAGGAGGCATGCAAGACACGGTTTGAAACGTCAACTATAAAGTCCCAGCAGATTGCATAAAATTGTTCTACTGTTTCTATGCCTTTCATCACACTTACTTATTGGTAGTTTGAAGCTCAATATCACATTGCCTTGAAACTCCTGCAGAGATGCTTTGCATACAGGACAGTTTTAAGGGGTAAAGGTAGTTGAGTAGTGTGGTTTTTTTACACTGTTTGTTTGATTATTTGCTCAGTGATCTGAGCAGTTCTGTCTCACAGTTCTGTCTTGCACTGTCATGTACTATTCTCATGTCTGAACTAAATGTTCCATTTTAGCAATCTACCCTCCAAAATTCATTCACATCTTCCCCCCCCCCCCGTCCTTACATTTTATAAACTTGATACCTTGCACATTACACACTGAACATATACACTGACATTCAGAAACTCCCAGTACTGAATAGGATGTTCAGTGCATCCTCCCTTGTCTTCTCCAGCAGCAAAAACCTTAAAAGAGTTTCAGTGATTTAGTGAGGTGTGATGAGCTTCCCTTTTGCAACCATGTTGGCTCTTTTTGTTCAACCTCTGTTTTTCCAAATGTTTTCTCATTTGAGTCTCAAAATGATTTCAAAGGGGTTTGTTCCCAACCCATGTTAGGCAGATCAGGATGGAGTTTCCCAGTATTCCTTAGACACTCTTTAACTCAATGGCAGTATGTCTTAGCCATCACTTTTCTTTAGAGAATTCTCCTAATCTCAATGCATTTGTGAGAAGATGCACCAAATTCTCTTACATTTCCACTGCTGTCAAACTGCATTAGTCATTGCATGAGGATTTTTGTTTGTTTGTTTTACTAGAGTTGGTTTTCAATATGCAGTGCTTGCTAAGGTTTTGAGAACATTATACTTGACAGGAAGCCCTTGTTAGCAGTCCTTAAATGATCGGGATGGGACAGAACCGGACTAAATATCACCTTTTGTTTTATAGCATTAAGGAAGCTATATTTAGGATGATGTGCAGGATGACCAAGACAGCTTAAGCATTTCTATGAATAGTCATTTTTTATTTGTTTCAGTCATACTCTGGCAAATAACTTGCCACTCTATCCTGGCAAGGCACCAGCTCTACAGCACTTTGGTGGGAGAAGAACAAAGAAGCTCCAGGTGCAAGTACCGGTAATTGCCTTCTTTTCATACTAGATCAGTCCTCCACCCAGGCAACAGTGAAGTTTCTTTGCTCTCCTTTTACCTTGGGGGAATATGTTTTTTTGTTGTTATTTGTAATCCTACTGAGATTATTTTGGGAATGGTAGTTTAACTTCACAAAGCTACAGTTCCCAGTATCCTTAACAAACTATAGTTCTTTAGAGGTGCGTGCGTGCGAGGTGTGTGTGTGTGCCTTAAATGTACAGTGGTACCTTGGGTTACATACGCTTCAGGTTACATACACTTCAGGTTACAGACTCCACTAACCCAGAAATAGTGCTTCAGGTTAAGCACTTTGCTTCAGGATGAGAACAGAAATCATGCAGCAGCGGCACAGCAGCAGCAGCAGGCCCCATAGCTAAAGTGGTGCTTCAGGTTAAGAACAGTTTCAGGTTAAGAACAGACCTCCAGAACGAATTAAGTTCTTAACCCGAGGTACCACTGTACTTTAAATGCATTGTCTTCCTACCTGCAACTGCTTAATGTTCCCATTGTTGATCTGCTAAGGATTAATCAAGTCTGGTTACCTGTTGCCATGCATTACTTGGTAGTTCAGTTCCTACATGGAATATCTAATCCTGTTTAAGCTTGTTTTTCTCCTCAGAAGAAGAAAATCCTCTTGCTAGCCTTCTTCTATGAGTTGCAGCCTTGAGGGCCTTTCACCCCATTCATACCATCTCTTTTCTTTCAGTCAGATTCAACCACCCATTAATCCTTCTACAGCTATTTTATTATATGCATTTAGTAAGTTGCTTGCTTTTCAGTTTGTGTTCAAGGTAATGCATGATTTATATCTAAGTGTGGCTTCGATGTGAGTTTAGTTGGCTGAGTAGATATGCAGCCTAACATGGATTGAAGCCAGAACATCAAATCTTTGGCTGCCTCCACCATGGACTGTGGATCAGGTCCCTAACATTATTTCCAGTTCTTTTCTGGGTTCTCAGGACAAATTGAGCATAGTGCTCACAGTGCTTCTTCATTTAGACTAGCAAAATATCTGTCCTAGTGATGGGTGAGGCGGATGGAGAGGGAAGATCTGTATATTGCAATGTCTCCTGTGCAGGACAGAATGCATTTCTTGTGGGGTGATTAGGGAGGCAGGAGAGGATATATTATTTAATGATATCTTTCCTAACTTGCGCTAGCAAGTTCCATATTCTAGCAGAGTTCCAAACAGCCCCCTTTTTAAATTACGCAGCAATCAGCTTGTTGCTGACTCATCTGAGTCTTACTATTAAAGATTCCTTCCTGGTAAAATCCCTTCTAATCCCCCTTAAAAAGAATAAATAAAAGAATCTGATTAACGTGAATATAAAAGTAGTTCACTCACAGATTCATTCAGGTTCACAGACATATCCCTGAAGGCAGGCTTGGGTTACATAACAACTGGAACTAGTCCATAAAGAAGTTAGCCCCAAGTGACTGCGACTAAGCAGTCACTTCTCCAAACACACAGCAACGTACACAATGGAGAAGACACGCTGATCCGAACATGGAGGCCATGTGCTCCTCCATGCTAGTACAACAGACCACACCCTCTTCAAGTCTGTCCCAGCTCAGGAGGAAACAGGAAGTCCTCTCCTGAGTGGTACATGTCCACTGTAGGAATGTTGTACTTCACAGCAGTTTTACACCCCACATTTCTTTGGGAGGTTCACTTGCAGTATCCTAGTGCTACATTCAGTGGCACATTCACAGTTAAACCCAAGCTATGGCTTACTGTAATATGCAAACCAAGCCATTGTTCCCAGGTGCAGTATTTTATCCCCCCGCCCTCTCCACAGAAGTGGGTAGCAACTATTGATCTTTCTGAGGGAAATTAAACAGCTGCACTTGGGATCACCAAATAGTGGAGTCTAAACCCTCTCCCTGCCCCAATAACCCCAGCCATTGAGGGGAGAAATCTAGCCCTATAGTCCCATGCTAGGCACTGTCTCTCGCTTGTGCTCCAGGGGGACATGGGAATGCCTTCCAAATACCTAATGCCAGAGCAGCACAATGTTTCGTTCTGTCTGGCGTTTGAGCTTCCAGCTCTCAATGTAAGAGGCTGCATGATCTTGGGATGGTCACATTTTACATAACTAACTGTTCCAACTTCACCATCTGTCTTTGCTCAGATTTGGAGGGTAAAGATTACTGTTAGTGCTGATTTACTTTATTGTTGTTCTTTTAAACTAAACTAGAATATCAACCTGCCCCCCCCCTTTTCATGAAAATCCTGACATACACTTAACTTAATTCTTATCCTTACCCAACATTCTGTTCAGGAGAAGGGTTGGAAGGGAATCAAGTACTTCAGTCTCAGAAGGTAAGTGAGTCTGATGCTTCCCAGAACTTGGATGGGAGTCTGGGTGAAGCCCATAAAGATTTTTCTTCAAGAAAGGATGGACAAGGGGATTATAAAACAGAGAAGCATGTGTAGAAGAAATAACTTTCTCTTTCTCATAAAACATCTAATGTAATTGATTGGCAAGAGAATCATGTCAAACAAAATACTTTTCTCAATCAAGAAATGCGCAGTGCACGTGAGGAACCCATTGTCACGAGGCAATTGAGTCATGAGGCTGCAACGGATTAGCACAGCCACCTCCAACCTTGAGCCTCCCCGGATGTCTTCAGCTGCAATTCCCACCTTCCACAGCCAGCACAGCAATGGCAAATGAATGTGAGAAATTAATGGAATACACTCTCTTGGATTAGACAAATGCATGGCAGGTACTCAATAGATGGCTGCTAGCCATGGTTGCTAAACTGGAACCTTCATTTTGAAAGGGAGTATGCCTCTTATCACCGAATGCTCAGGCTTGGCCAGACAAATCCTAGAAGCACCTCAACAATGAGCAAACCTGTTTGACTAGAGGCAAATGTGGGGCAGCAAAAATGAGTGTGTGCACCACAGGCAAATACACCTCTTCCTTGTACTGTCTTCCCCTCTCTGCAAAAAGTTGCCCTCACTCTCCAAACTTCAATCTCCACTCAAACTCCACCTGACAAACTATATCGTTTTCATATCAGAGTGTCTAATTAGTAGCAGAGGATTCTAAAACACACACACAATAATAATCTAAGCGAAGGCTGCAATTGTGCCACAGGAACAGTTAAAGATCAGCCTTCAGAACATTTGAAAATTCTTGTCTCTGGGATTTCCACGGTGATACAATCTAATACATTTTGGAGAAGGGGGAACTGTGTTCTGTTTTGCTGAGATATCCACTTTATCTCCTGATTTTATAATATTCATGAATCTTAACCAGTTCCTCAAACAACCCTGAAAACTGAGTGTTCTTCACACTTTGCTCCTTTTCATGAAAGGGCTGAAGCTGCAGTCAGCAAGTGGCTCTGCCTGTTCCTAGGATTAAAGCAGGGCTTGGCCCAGGTCAGAAAACATTCCCGCAGGTTGCCTTTTTCAAACAGAAGACTTTGTCTGCACTGCACATTTCTATTGCTTTTCTTATCCATTTTCTGTCATGGTTCTTTCAGAGAATAGCAATCTGGTTACTGGTTAAAGACCTCCTGCTCCCCTCCGAATGCTGAAGATTGATGTTAGACCAATGTGAATCTGTAGTGCACATTATTAAATATAGTATATTTATAAATAAAATGGAACTAATAGAGTAGATGTGCCTGAAGTGCCTCTTTTTGTGTGTGCCTCAGATGCACACATTTCAGGAAGCTGATGAATCCAGTAGTTTCACCAGTGTGCACCTCCCATGCAAGAAGCTGTGGCACCCTTCGCAAGTTATGAGGTACATTTCCTCCCTTTGACATGAGGATTAATCCACGTGTAAGGGGAGGAAAGGTTCACTTCTGTCTCTCTGTGCAAGCAAATAAATTTCTGCAAGCTGGACTAATGCTACAGTATCACAAAACCAGATGTTTCTCCAAACTCTCAGGCAAATATTCAAAACCAGAAAGCTGGCCCCATGGACTTCAATAGGCTGAAGATGGTTTACATTCAGATTAGCAGATTTACATGGTTTGGGGATTACCCTACCTGTGCATCCTGCTCATGGCTGAAGTAATTGTTTCTCTTCCTAACTTTTAAAAAGGATTTTCTGAATACCAGGTGCTGGGTATGTAACTATGGGGTGGGCGTTTCGTTCTTCTCAGGCTGCTTTTGGGCTTCATGGAGGCATCTGACTAGTAGCCACTATGAGAAAGCGGATGATGGAGAAGACAAAACCTCAGTTTGATCCAGCAAGGCTGTTTTTGCATTCTTATTTTCTCAGCATTGTGATTCAAAATGCTTAATAATCAAAGGACAATAATGCTGATACTTTTTTTTTTTTGTCAATACAGAATATGCCCCACTATCGCCCAAGGTCCAAATCTGATCTTGCATTTCAGATTTTCACATTTCTTTGCAGTATCTGACACTCTTCTTTCTAACAGTATCCACATTCACTCCTATTCTGAAATCAACTCTTAACTGCAGTCTCACTTTTATGACTTCATTTCATCTACACTGGATTAGTGTAATTTTGTCCCAACGGGATTGCTAGAATCTTCCATTACAGAGTTTCCAATTAGTGCAGGAAAAAGCTGCCAGACTTTGCGTCTTCACTCTATCCCTTGTGATAAAATAGGGAGACGGAAAGAGAGCAAAGCAGTATATTTAACGGCAACAGTCTAATCTGTCAACACAATCTCATTTTAGTAATATGGCTTTGAGTCATTAATTGCAGTGCTAAGGCAAAGTTACCCTTTTCCCTTTTTGTTTTAACAGGCCCCTGCTCCTGCTCTCTTCTTTTGCAGGAACCTACAGATTGCCACATTGTGATTCACATTTTTGAAATTTAGTGATTATATAATCCATTCAGTTGCTTAAAGGAATATGGGCTCTAGCATTCCGCACATGATTGATCTCAGATTGTCCTGATTGGTGAGAGGAAAGTGGGCAACATGGCTGGAGAGCAAGAGAAAGGGTGGAAATTGCTTGGGCTTTAATATATCACTCAATAAGGTTCCACCTTCTAGGGCAGGGGGTGCCAACCTTTATGGCCCCATGGGCACATCTGCAAACCAGAAAAACCTGTGTACACATTGCAGTCTATCCTACTGACTACAATAAAAAGCTTCTTTCAAGCCTAATTTTTGTGGGGGAGGGGACCCTGTGAGCACCAGGGTCAGGGACTGGGAAGAGTGGAAATTGTGACTATTTACTGTCACAATTTACCTGGAAGCAGTTTACAAGTATTAATCGAAAACAGCAAGAATGCAAATAATAAAAGACAACTAAAACATCAACAATGAAACTGTTATAATCAGCATCAGAATATCAAGGAAGACAAAGAGTGAAGGAAACAGCTTCAGAAAATACTGTCATAGATTTTTTGGGGGGGAGAACCCACTTAAACCCTAGAAATTAATAAATGGTAGGAGATTGCAGGCCAGTGGGAAAATGCAGGCAAGCTTCCTTCCAAGCCAGAGCCTCACCTGGGATAGAGGCCCATCTGAGAGGAATCTTCGGCTGGGCAGACAGAAGGTTGTTAGGGTAACTGGGCATGAATTGGTAGGAAAAGAGAGTCTTTAGCAAGGTGTGCTGGAAAGAAGAAGGGAGAGAGCAAAGGGAGATCCATCTCTGCATTTAATCTGCATGTGTTTTCAAAAGCAATAGCTGGTGGCAGGTCCAAGCATCAAGATTGAGGCAAGGAGGGAGAGTTGAATCTTTTTGCCTGCTGCGTCCCCAGCAAAAATTGCACGCTCACTTCACTCCCAACAATGCCGTTTGCATTGGAAGGAAGGCTTTCAGTGGTGCCAACAGCAGGTAGCTAACACGGCCATTCACCCATTTTGTCTCTCTGTCTCTCTGTATCAGATGGTCTTCAAACTTTCCTCATTCAGGAAACTCGTCCCACATTGAATTATGTGCTAGGTAACTCCTGCAGATTGCAGAGGATTCTCAGTACAGTAGAATACTGTAGGGCAGGAGTGACTAATCCACAGTCCTCCAAATGCTGGACTTGGCCCAACCAGCATGGTGAATGGCAGGGGATGATGGGAGTTGTAGTCTAGCAATATCTGAAGGGCCACAGTTAGCTGCCCTGCTTCTAGGGCCAACACTCGGTTTGTGTGGAGTGTCAGCTGGGCCTCTTGAAAACGATTCTTATCCTGAATGAACAAAGAGTGCATCTTAGAATGGCACCAATGTTCCCAGACTTCTCTTGCACATTCAAGGGTGTGACTGAAACAATGCTAAAAACAAAACAGAGTCCAATTCAATGGCCAAGACTTTTTATTGGATAAGGCTTCTGTTTTGCTTTTCCGAAGCAATTCTTTGCTGTTTTGTTCTCCTTTTGGTGAAGCTGCTTTGAGGAAATACTTTTTTTTTTTAAAGCATGCATGTTGCTTAAGCAGCAGGCATGAAACTACAAACACCTGGTGCGTTTTTGCTGGTGTGATTTGCAGTGCACCTCCAAGGACTGTGCAAACATCTGAAATTCATTCTTGGGATCTCAAAAGCCCTTTCCATCACCGAGCAAATTTTTTTTGGGTTGAGATTCATGGTATAGCAGCTGTGATTTATATCGGTGATTGTACAATGGGGGCCATTCATGTTTTAAATGGTGATCTCCGTCATGTATGAAATTAAAGAATGAAGACAAATATAGCATGAATCTACACATCACACATTTCTTATAATGGACATTTCACAGGGATGAACTGTAACACAGCCATGTGTAGTGCTTGCATTCCCAGGTTTGATCCCTGGTGTGCTCCTGTAGTAAGAAGCAGCTGTGGGAAAGGCCACAGCTAGCAAGGCGGGTAGCTGGCAAGATGGAGTGTCAGCTACTTAATCTAATGCAAAACAAAGCACCTTTGTCGTGAGGCCACTACACGCCCTTACTGTGAATATTAAGATGTTTCAAGGGGAGTTGGTTTAGGGCGGCACCACACCAGGACTTGGGGGGAGGGGAATGCACTCAATGGCAACTGATCACGCTCACCACTGTTGTGTTCAGGAGTAATCACCACAATAATCGGAGGTATTAATTGCCTCCATATTTCCAGCAGCATCAGGTAAGGAAATTAAAAGTTCATCTACAATAACATTTAATGTGGAAGATGCTGCCATTATTATTATTATTATTAATTATTATTATTATTATTATTATTTTATTATACAACCCTTCATTTGAAGATCACTGTTTGTGCCTCTGCTACTACTACAAGTAGAAATCCATGCTTTCCTTCTGCTAAATTTAGATCTTCCAGATCTGTGGATACTCCAATAAGGGAAGGAAATCTACTGTTAAATCCCATTACCCAAATGTAGACATACTTTTTTTGTGTCTATGTGCTATCTATCACAACACTCCCTTCTTCCATTTTATTTACATCAGCCCAAAGGAAAGGATGGAACATGCTCTTTCCACTTCACATCCACTATATTTGTATTTTTAAATCAGCTCCCCACCCCCCGGAACTACTCTTGCCCAAAAGAGCTGTATTAAAAAATTAAAATCGCCCTTGCAGGTACAGGAGGCAGGAAAATTTTTTGCCTGGCTTAGAGTGACACACATTTTTTTTTACTGCTCTTTTACACAAATCTGGTATTGAAGAAAACTTATATTTCCCACATATTGTGTGTGTGTGTGTGTGTGTGAGAGAGAGAGAGAGAGAGAGAGAGAGAGAGAGAGTGCAGGTAAAAAAATAACAGCACGCATGCCTACAAAGTAACTCAGGCTTTCTGACCTGGAATGAAACACATTTTTAAAATGATAATAATAACAACTTCTGCTGCTACTGTTGCTGCTGCTGCTAGTAGTATTAGTAGTGGTGGTGGTGTGCAAATCTAATAGAGCAGAAAACATGTGTCTCAGAAATAAAAAGGTGTGCCCATACAGGTAAACTAATAACTATGGGTATTCCCATGATGGACCTCAACAAAAGCATCCACAACATATGGCCACCCAACCTCTGCTTAAAGGAAGGAAAGAGAGGCTACCACCTTCTGAGGGATTCCATTGCACTGTTGGATGGTTCTTACCGTCAGAAAGTTGTTCCTGATGTTTAGTGAGAATCTCCTTTCTTGTAACTTAAATCCATTGGTTTTGGGTCCTACCCTCCAGAGCAGGAGAAAAAAAGCCTGTTCCCTCTTCCATGTGGCAGCCCTTGAGATATTTGCAGATGGCTATCATATCTCCTCTCATATCCAGGCTAAACATACTCAGCTCCCTCATCCGTTCCTATTAAGCTGTGGTTTCCAGACCCTCGATCATCTGGGTCGCCTTTCTCTGCACATGTTCCAGCTTGTCACTGCCCTTCTTAAATTGTGGCACCACGACTGGACACGGTATTCCAAGAAGAATAGAGTGGAACTATTACTTCCCTTGATGTGGACACTATAAATCTGTTGATGTAGCCTGGAATAGCATTAGCTATTTTTGCTGCTGCATCACACTGTGGACTCATGTTAAGTTGTGGTCCACTAAGACCCCTCTTTCCTTTTCACATGTACTACTGGCAAGCCTGGTGTATCTCATCTTATATTTGTGCAGCTGGTTCTTCCTGCCTAAATGTGGAACCTAACATTTTTTTAGTTTGGCCCAGTTCTCCAAGCTGTTGAAGTAATTGTTGTTGTTGTTGTTGTTTAGTCGTTTAGTCGTGTCCGAC